TCTTTGTCCAGGCTAACATGCAGCCTAAAATCTTTTTAGATGTACAAATATCACAATGCTGAAGAAAAACACTACAAAACATGATGCAACATATATCCAATTTATAAAATATAGAATTTATACGTTGATAAATTAACAATAATAAATAACAAATAAATCATACTATTATTATCAATTTATATTTTATGCATTTATCATCATTTATCAGTTATATCTATAACGTATCATATATATTTATATATAAAAATTTAAATGGATAAATAATATTAATAATACAACTAATACTAGTATTAGTAGTATAATATAATAATCATAAAAATAATTAAATATTTTTGCCAGCGAGAAAATAATTTGTGTGTATGTATGTATGCATGTATATTTATGTATGTGTGGCTATATATACAGTATATATATATATATATATATATATATATATAGAGAGAGAGAGAGAGAGAGAGAGAGAGAGAGAGAGAGAGAGAGAGAGAATAAATAAATAAATAGATGGATAAACTAGTCAACCTCACACCTCAGTTGTTGGAAAACTAGAACCCATCATCACTAACCAAACCTGTGCATCTTAAATAGAGCAACAAGCTGTGGGTGGGAAGCTGGAAGATTTGTGCTGTCTTTATTTTGATTGTACTGTCGTACATCCTGTAAACAACAACTCGTGTCTAAACAAAAAGAGGAAATCCTGAGAGAGCTTCACATGATGAGGAACTACATCCTGAACAAGCTCACAGCTTTTGCAAGTTTATTTACAGATGGAGTCTGCCGAACTAGATATGCACACACAATATGGGGATATTAGGCTGTACTCCTCTGGAGGGCTCGCTGTGCTCCGCGCTCTATTATCATGACCTCATGAGGTCTATTTTCCTAATGTCAGTGTGATGGAGAGTCTTATAGCAGCAGTTGGGCACCATGACTGTGATCTCTTGAAGGATAGCATGGCACTAACCACAACAGAGGAGGTCTTACTCACCATCCACCTTTCTTGAGTCTGAGTCACCCAGACATGTTAAAATGAACTGAACTAGACCGAAACCCTGACGTTAGCCAGAGCAGACGGTTGATTTCATTTGACACTAATAAAAATGTGCTTTTTATTTTTATGACCTTAGCATCACTGATTAAACTCACAAAATCATTAAATTCGGGTATTTGGATTTATTTTCAAGATTTTTTTTAACTGTTTGTTACAATGAATCATTAAGACATTGAGAAGCTTGGAGGAGGGACAGTAAGATAAACATTAATTAAAAAAAAAAAAATGTAAAGCCATATACACAATATATATATATATATATATATATATATTAGTGATGCGCAGATCGCAGTTAACGGGGATGAATAAAGTGCTGGGTAATATGCAACGGCTTTTAGTAACATTAAGAAAATTAAATTTTGTTTTAAATAAATGTTCATTTAAAAGCAGCATTCCTCAATGTATTTTACCATTAGAAATGCACGCATCAGCTCTCTAGCATCGCCGAGTCCACTGTTGAAGGTCTTATCACGTGTAACACATAAGAATAATTGTAATTTGACCATCGGGTGCGGGTCGGGTGCGGATATCTAAATCAGAGAAAGTTATTGGTGCGGGTGGGTGGATGATTTATATTTACATAATTATTTGTTCAAAGAAATTATTCAAAAATGATTTTAAATGATTTTCAACTTGATAAAAATATGATAGTTAATTAAGTAATTATTAATTTTAAATCATTCAGTTAAGATAAAAGTTGACATATTATTTAAGTATATGAATAAAAATAGTATTGTAATTTTATATATGATTAAAATAGTCAAAAAAATAATATAATAATAACTAATAAAAATTTACAATATATATATTTTTTAGCTTTTTCATTCAGTCTGAATTCTCCACTTGAGTGTTTTTCTCTTAAAAGGATGACGATTTGCCTTAATATAGCTTTATTTTGTCTCCACCTCCCATTGAACCCATTGAGACTGAAATAGGTTCTATCTATTTAGTCGCTGAGGTAATGTTCCTGTTACAAACACTCAAGTAAACTTAGCTACGGCGAGGCGGGAACCTGAAACCACTGCTTGAGCAATTCTGTTGCAGTGTCAAAGCGCGAGGCGATTACAGCGCTGCCAGAAAACTTGTCGAGGGGTGGATCCAGATTTAATTACCATTATGTTCCACTTATAGGTGACAGGACTCAGGTCCAAATGTTATGGGAATAAGGTGTGACAACAGTGAAATTAATCATGTGCTTTTTAACAGACTTATGGTCCTGTTTGGGAGGCACCTTTTTTTTTTTTTAAATGTTTTGTTTCATAGAAATGAAAGTGGAAGAATAAAGCATGGCAGACGGGGAAAACCTGTTCAAAAACCTGTTTTATATTTAGAAAAATATTTACATGAAGAGCTCCTTTTTTGCTGAAATGGTTATTTGGGGTTAAGATTTCTCATTCTACACTCTTGCACTTTTAAAACATGGTTCTTTAGTGTGCAACGGGACGCACTTATAAGTTTATTTATTTTGTAAACTTACATGATAAATATGGTTAGTTGCATTTTATATTGCATTTATCATATATTTTTCAACTGTCCAAAAAACTATACGTTTCAAGGGGTCATGACATGAGAAATCAAATTTGCCTTGATCTTTTGACATATAATGGCTTGTTTCCACTGAGCGGTACAGTACAGTACAGTACGGTACACAATTATTTCCGTTTTGATTGTCAGAAGTTGTGAATCGTACCAAAATACAGAACTGTACCGTACAACTTTTTTGGGACCCTAGCACAGTAGTAAAGGCTGAAGCTAGACTTACTGCAGAACGTTGATTGGTTGACAGAGAATCATCACTTGCGTGTGTAACAAGGGGAATGACCACGCAAGAGGCGCCGTTTATTAATATACGGTTTATATATGACGAGAATACTTTTTGTGCGCAAAACCCCCCAAAAATAACGACTTTATTCAACTATTCGTTCACGTAGTGTAACAGCGCAGCGCTTCTGTGTTGTGTGTCACACGTAGGCTCACTATTGGCCGACGCTGGTCATGTGTGTGATGCGTGTGACGTACAACGCAGAAGCGCTGCGCTGTTACACTACGTGAACTCACTCGAGGCCCACAGAGAAGGAAATTAATAGTTGAATATAGTGATTATTTGGGTTTTTTTGCACACAAAAAGTATTCTCGTCGCTTGATAAACTTAAGGTTGAGCCACTGTAGTCACTTGGACTAACAATGTCTTTAATAACTTTTCTGGGCCGGCAAGTTTCAATCCCTTAGAAGCCTATGGAGGAGTGATCCAGCTCTCAGATTTCATCAAAAATATCTTAATTTGTGTTCCGAAGATGAACGAAAGTCTTAAGAGGGGTTGGAACAACATGAGGGCGAGTAATTACTGACAGAATTTTCATTTTTGGGTGAACTCTCCTTTAATACTGTTTTTATTTCCAAGTTCAATTTGTTGAAAAGAGTTAAATTAGGACCAGTGGAGTCCAATAATCCAAAGAACTGTATTTCAAAAATAAGTAATATTTAAATATAAATATGATTTAATCATATAGAGCCTCAATCAGAAGTTCTGGAAGTTATGTACAGTAAGGTCTGAAAAGACTCATGTGAAATCATACAGGAGAAAAGCCAGTCAGTTGAGTTTGTGGAAAACCTTTTACAGTGCTTGTATATTGTTGCCTTTCAATGCATTTGATAATTCATACTCTCGTGAACCCAATCTCGTGTCTCATCTTGTGAGATAAGTGTCTCGTCACACCCCTTGCAAATACATTTGCATATGCCTGCCTTTAGAGCAAGAATCGACGAATAGTTACACATCATCACACCATAGGCCCCGCCCACTGGCGTTCAGTCACTTAACGGCTGACGTTTGCCTACACTGGATGTGAGCGTCGTATCAAAAGCAAATAGAACTCATTATAATCACTGACGCTGTCTACACTTGATATAGTATACAGATGTGCGTTCAGTTTCTGACATACTCCACGCACTTGAGTCTGTCGACAACAGGACAAATGGAAGAGTGAATGAACGTTAGCTTTGACGCGTCCAGTTTAAAAAGCTTGTTTGTGACTTCAGAGGATCCAAGCGTCGGAAACAAGCGGAAGGTTTATTTTAACGATGTCACGGATCGCGTCGGAAGATTATATGTTTGTTCAGAGCATTTTGTTTTTTAAACGAGGCAGAGTTCGTAAAGAAACTTTTTTTGAAAAATGAAGCAAGCAGCTGGATTGGATCTGACAGCAGCTGCATCACAACTGTAAGTAAACGATTTTATAATGCATTGTCTGTAAATGACGGTTTTATATGGATAACATTTTCAAAACATTTGCTCGCATGCAATAGCGAGTGGGCGTTGATACTGTTTCCTATGCAATGATGTTGGATAATCATAACAGTGGCTGTTTACTGACGAGCCTTAAAGGAGCCGTCCCTTAAAAATGATCATTTCAGACAGAGTCAGAATAAGGATTGAAAATAATTTTAGTTTTTCCGCATATACATTAGCTTTTTTGTGCAAAAAATTATTATAAGTTAAAGTCAAGGAACATATTAAAATAAGAAAAATCCATTTCATGAAATTCATTTTCCCTTTAAAGGAAATCGACTGTTAAAAAGACAAGTTTTATTTTTTATGTGAAATAATCGTGATCTCATTTTTAACCAAAATAGATATGTTTGATTATGGCAATAATCATAATCATGATTGTTTTACAGAAGCTAAAAAACGTTATTTAGTAGCAAAAAAGAAAAGAAAAGTTTTTGCCAGTCTAATCCACTCAAACACAAAAAAGACAACAAAAAAGAAAAGATACTACAGATATTTAATTCTCAAAATAGGCACGTAACAAAATCCGCTCATAAACGAGTCTTTGTGAGATGACAAACAGAGTCTTCATCCCATCTAGATGCCATTTCATCAGTTGTGAACGCAACACAAGGAGGATCAAGCCTTTGAGATACGCCAACATCCCGAACAGCAGGGCCTTACCTGAGAGAGGTCTCCGTTCCGAGAGAGATCCAGGGTGGGGAAGTCGAAGTCGAAGTCGCTGATGCCGTTGGGAAACAAATCCGTGTGCATGTCTAATGGGCCGTTGAAAAGGTGCTGCCTGAGAAAGACAAAATAAATGTAAGAGCAGCATTAGGACATAGTTTCGTGATGGATCACGAGCAGAGTAAACAAAAAAAGGAAGGGGGAAATTCACAGTTTTTTGTGTCATGAAAACAAACAGTCACATCCTAGTGACAGCAACGTGACCGAAAACGGGATGGGACATAAAAAAAACATTTATACACATAACGAGTAATGACCTGTGCACCTTATAAACAAGTCGATATAAATGACACATTAAAAAACCTATTTAAAGAGACATAAGTAATAAGTAAATGATGACTAAATTTTCAATTTGGGTGACCTACGTGGTTAAAGTTAAGGTTAGGTTCACAAATGTGTATATGTGTATAGGCTTTAGATATCAGAGTGTTTAAGACCGTTAAAGCGTCTTTACTGACGGCCTCCCATCATGTGACATTCATTCATTATATACCTTATGAGTCATGCGCGTCATGTGACATTCACTTTCAGTTCTCTGTCTCTCACTTTTTCGGAAATCACCACATTACATATCAGGAAGCGTCATTACGAGGTGGATAATTTTGTCGCGTTGCTAGTTAGGATGATACATTTAAATTGCCATTGAGTATATGTGACTTGATCAGGGAACAGAAACCTTTGCTCTTAATTGAGTTGATGTAAGATGAATTATGACAAAACACACACACACACACGCAGTGGCATGAGACAACTTCCAACATCTGGGATTCAAAATTTCTAAATATACAGAGTGGTATGGGATTTTGAACAAATGTAAAACAGGCATGATGATGCAAAAATAAATATTGATTTAACAGGAAAAATGTATATTATTGTTATTATAAAAATTTTGTGCTGATTATACAATTACAAATAATTCAGTAATGATGCTGAAAATCATCTCAGGAATTAATTACATTAAAATATATTCAAATAGAAAACAGCTATTTTAAATAACAATATTAAGATTTTTACTGCATTTTTGATCAAATAAACGCAGCCTTGGTGAGCAGAAGAGACTTCTTTCAAAAACATTTTAAAAAATGTACCGACCCCAAACTTTGAACAGTAGTGTATGCATCATACTGAACCAAGAAAATCTGGCAAAATGTATCCAACTGAAATAGACGACAACTGCTGAGCCTGATACTAGTGTAGTTTTGTTATGTATTTTTGAATGAGAACACACCAAAAGAGTGTGTTTGGTGAATCTGAAATCAGTGAAATGGAATACTATGCAGTCCCTAATGTGTGCAGGATTTGATTGCTCATACTGACTTGGCTACATTAAACAGATGAAAAGAAATAGTTTCAGGCGAAAGTTGTTGCATTTTGATAAAAGATTCTTAGGGTGTTCACAGCATGTTTGGTTCGATAAAATGAAACCTGGTGCAATTGCTCTGTTAGTGCGGTTCATCTGAAAAAGTGTGAACGCTGCCATCCGAACCGCTGAAAAGATGTGTCTCGGTCCGCTTCCAAACTAACTCTGGTGCGGTGGTTTGACTGAAATACGAACGCTACAAGGACCAAAGGCATCTAACTAAAAACAGGACATGATGTCAGAAGATGAGACCCTAAAAAGGACAGAATGTTCAAGCATACCTGTTTATTCTCATCATATTCGCGATTTTGCCCGTCACAGTTCGGTACAGGCGTCAGAACCATGTCTCCTCACAGAAGATCTTCATTAATGTGTGTGACGGAGGGATTCCTTCCTGCTGCTGTTTTGACTCCTTTACACATCTTAAAAGCTTTCACGAGTTCTCAGCTGGTCAAAATACCATCTTTTGTAGGCTTTTTTTTTGTTTGGTCCGGACCAAACGAACCAAGTGAACCGAACTACAAGTCTGAATACACTCTTAAAAACTACTTTGGCACTACGTGACACTATAACACTATAAATTAAATATTATAATTCATTTTAAATACAAAACCAGCGAATTTGCAGTTCAGCGCATTTGTGTTCCTCAAATAAAATGGTCCATAAAATGGTCAAATAAAATGGTCCTCAGACTCAGAGGTTATATGGAAATCCCCTTCTTCTGATATTGCACCGCAAGCTTGGCACATCGATTCAGGCACATTCCATCAACACAATACAATTCACTCGGCACTAACCTCTGGAACACTGAACCCATCCCATAATGCCCCGTCTCTGTCTTGTGTAATCATATCCCTCTGAGAAAAATCACTTGTCTCTGCAGCAAACGGTGGAGGAAAATGGACTGTAAAATAATTTTCAGGATAGTAAATAAATGCTAATAAAGTATATAGTCTTTTGGTCTGATTATTTTAATGCTTTTAGACAGAGTGTGGCGGTCAGGTAAACAACATTCACCATCCAAGTCTAGACACCTTCATAGACTGACTATTCAACAACCACGTACACATTACGATATGTTGAACAGACTGTAAAACTATCCATCAATGCTTGTTATCATTGTGTTAAATTAAACATGGAACCAGAAGTATTATTTGAGACTGTAACAGTGAGATTCCTACTTGCCTGGGTGACTATCACTGATCCAATTTGAATTATTATTTATTATTACCATTATTACTATTATTTGGTAGTTTTATTATTTAGTAATAATTAATAATAATTCAAATGAATGTCAATAACAACGTTGTTATTGTTGTTATTAATATTATCATCATCAGTATCATAAATAGTTTTTATATTCATAATTATCATTATTTTTTATTTGCCATTATTATTTATTATAATTATTATAAATAATAATACCACCAATGGAAAAATAGTATTATTATTATTCATTATTTTTTATTTAATAATAATAATAATAATAATGTGAAACTAGTATTTATTAAACTATAATTATAAATTATATATATATATATATATACATACACATACAGTATCTCACGAAAGTGAGTACACCCCTCACATTTCAGCAAATATTTTAGTATATCTTCTCAATTAAACTTGGATATATGTTAGAGTAGTCAATGTGCTGCTTGTATAGACCTTATTCGCAAACACCGGAAGTAGCTAACCGCGGCCATATTGTTGACATGACATCTGTCCTGCTGCCCCTAACCGCGCGCAGATTTGAGTTGAGGGGAGCAGTAGCCTGGCTTCATCTCGTCGGTATCAAGAGAAGATAATGCTATTATTTGATGTAGGTCCACACCAATCAAGCTTAAGTAAAGATCCGTCCGTATTGCCAGCCGTAAATTATCCGGATATTTATAACTATCTCGTACAGTATCCGTAACGTATACAAACTACAATTTACCTCAACAAGGAAACATAATGAACGACACTCGTCTCATTCGTGGAGGTGGAAAACCAAGTTCTTTGTGACATGCAAGATTTGTTGTATTAAAATGTAAATACAAAAGAAAAGGCATGAGTCGGTTGTTTTTGTCAATTTTAAGTTTTCATTTAAAATGTTTGCGATTTTAATATAAGTACGTTACATGGTTACATATTTGACCACTTGCTTGAGCAACTTAATATATAGAAGTAATGCATGGAATAATTGGCTTACGTTGTTGAAATAGTGAGTATGTGTTAAAATAAAAATAGTGAGCACCGGGGTGTTTGTGGTACAGCCGCGGATCAGTGACGCACTGCAAACGCAGCATATAAAGTATTGCGCGTCCTGCTTCTGTACTGTATACGCACCGCACACGCATTGCACACGGATTATTTGTGAAACCTGTGGTAAAATGATGGGAACAGACTTTTCTGTTGGGAGTTGGCTGAAACTTTAGCCTATTTATCCTAGCCTCTCCTGCGCTGGCTCAACTCTCTCTCCTTCCCTTCAAGTTTTCTGACAGTCGGTAACTTATCGCATAAAAACTAACTCCGGGGTTCTTATTGCTGTTGTTAGAACAGCCGTGTATTACACAACACACCATCACGCTGTTTAAAAAAAAAAATACAGTGATAATACCATGGATAATGCCGACGCTGCCTCGCTTGTCAATTGACAGACTGACAGTTGCCGTGGTTTCTATGTCAACAATATGGCCGCCGCAAACATTGATGACGCAGATCGAATAACATCTATAGCAGTATATATTTACTGTCCTCTTAAAATAACTCAACATTCAGCCATTATTGTCAAAATAGCTGGCAACAAAAGTAAGTACACCCTAAGTGATAATAGCTGTACGTCGTTTAACCATGCAAAGCCACATGTCCTATTCATCATGTTCATGTTTTTGTATGCTTGACAGGAACATACAAATTTGTGTATCTTGTATTAGAGCAGTTAAAATTTGTGCTTTGAGTACAATTCTCTCATACTGACCACTTCAACACGGCACCTCATGGCAAAGAACTCTCTAAGGATTTGAGAATTAGAATTGTTGCTCTCCACAAAGATGGCCTAGGCTATAAGAAGATTGGTAACACCCTGAAAATGAGTTACGGTACAGGCCAGGGTCATACAGAGGTTTTCCAAGACGGGTTCCACTCGGAACAGGCCTCGCAAGAGTCATTTAAAGAAGAAGAGTCCTCGTGCTGTGCGTCAGGTGCAGAAGCTGGCTTCAAAAAACAGACGCATGAGTTCTGCCAGCATTGCTTTAGAGGTTGCAGTGCTCAGACCATTTCTCAGGTTTGCATGGCCGTCGTCTCCCACAAGGAAGCCTCTTCTGAAGCTGGCTCAAAAGAAAGCCTGCAAACAGTTTACTGAAAGCAACCTGTCCAAGAGCATGAATTTCTGGAACCATGTCCTGTGGTCTGATGAGACTAAGATAAACTTGTTTGGCTCAGATGGTGGTACTGGGGAGCTTCATTGAGGGAAACATGGACTCCAACATGCACTGTGACATTCTGAAGCAGAACATGATGCGCTCCCTTCAGAAACTGGGCCGAACAGCATGATAACAACCCCAAACACACCGCCAAGATGACAACTGCCTTGCTGAGGAAGCTGAAGCTGAAGGTGATGGAGACCTGAACCCTATTGAGCACCTGTGGGGCGTCCTCAAGCAGAAGGTGGAGAAGGACTGTGTGTCTAACATCCAGCAGCTCCGTGATGT